TTAGATATTGATCTTGCAAGTTAAACAAATACAGGTGAAATTGGCCGTATCCTTTTGCATCGTAGAACATCCGGCGAAAACAATATATTTTGGTAAATATGCCTATACCAGCAACAGGTAGCGCTGAACAACATTTTGATTTTATGGAACTTTATTACTTTAGATTGGGAAACAATATTAAGAAAATAATAAAGACTGTTTAATAATCAGTTTCCAGTAGGATTTTGCAACTTTTATATATTGACCTTGCAAGTTAAACAAATACAGGGGAAATTGGCCGTATCTTTTTGCATCGAAGAACATCCGGCAAAAACAATATCTTAAAGTATCCATCACATCTTTGTTCATAAATAACTTCGTGAGTTTTTAATAAAGATTGACTTTTATGACTCTAGTGTGAAATGAATTGCCTCTTTTACAAATGTACATTCATGCACGTGGCGAAAATGTATAAATTTCAATCGACAAAGAGAGCCACTGACGTTTTTATTGACTTTTATGCAAAATAGACCTTTCCTTTAATTACACAATATTTTACATGCATATAACTTCTCTGTTTTCATATTTAAATGAAATCAATGGATCTCGAAAATTTTATGACCTCAGAATATCTTTCACAGTTGATTAGTATTTGAAACATCGGTACTAAATATGTAGGACTCGGAGGTGCGATGGTCTGCGCTGCAATTCGATGGTACGTTCGCTGGTGTGCGATGGTCTATATGACGCATGATGGCTAAATTCGCTACAGAAGGTTAACTTTCCCATCTACACCAATAACACCCCGTTTTCCGTAGTATTAAAAAGTTAATATGCCCCTTATTAACTCAAAACCCCGAAAAAAAATGCTTCTAACAAACAAATTGACTTGTATCTACACATCGACATGCAAAGCATTGAAAGTATATAGTTTATGTAGTCCATTGCACTTCAGCGATACCACCGTCGCACTTCAGCGTTACCACCATCGCACTTCGGCGTAGCCATCAACAAAATAGCGTCACAATGCCACCATCGCACTTCAGCGCCAAACCATCGCATATCAGCGTGACCATCGCGGTTCATAGTCCTATAAATATATTATGTTGGAATTTTCTTTCTTATGCTCCGATCTTTTTCCTTTTTTGAAGAGGGACGCATTTATTTTTAAATAAAATGTTTTACTAAATGTCGTGAAAAATACATTGCTTGTTTTGAAATGGAATGGAAAAAATAGCTTGTTTCTCCTGAAAATTATTTTTAATTTAATAAATTTATTTTCAAAATTTTTTCATTTAAGTTGTTCCGAGATGACGACTATTTGGTGCCTTATTTTGTGTCAAGTAAATTGATTTAGGTTTCATTTAATGATAATATTAGGTAGCTGCAAAATAATTGAAATAGCATATGCAAGCAGAAAGCTGCTTGAAAATACCATCTCCCATTATCTTTATGTGCACACGATATAAATTTGATAAAATGTGTTCTCTTTATTACAGCACACAGTTAATAGGGTGTCGAACAATTTAAGAAGGCGGGGCAAACAGTCATTGGTATTCAATGATTTGCCCACCCGTACAAAGTGTTGAAGAGCGGTGATGCTCAAACACATCAAATGGCATTGTCATGAATCAATGACAATGTTGTATAAACAACAAAAGGGGCTACTTCATAATCTCGATTGTGAAATCCTAATTCAACATAAAATTGAAATTTACAAGTAGCTTTGCAACCACGGCCATGATGATGGGTGTATAATTGTTACAATTTATTTACAATTATACAAAGAAGAAATACAACTATGTAGAAAAGATATTCAAGAAGCGAAAAGCGAGGGAAAATGACGAAAAGCAATTTTCCACAAGAAAGATGCATATAATGATTTAAAAAAATGTTCCAACGGCTGTAGAGACTTATTTGTCTTAATGAAATAAGTGAAGTTACTATTACAAGAACACGTTTTACAAAGAAAGAAACAAGAAGTTTGGAATAATGCTTTTTTTTTGCTAGAAACATAATTGTTACAAAAATATTTCGCTATGAATACAACATTTATAACACTCCAGCAATACCTACATGTGGATCATATATCTTCAAGTCAATGGACACCATAATTTGGTTGACTGTTATGGAGTATCTGTAACAAATGACAACGGATATGTTCCACGTGTCGTAGCCGCAATCCCGTCCTCTTTTCCTCCATCACCGAATGAAACTTATCAACCAATTTGTACTTACCATTAGCAACACAATGAGTGTCAATAGTGGAGCAGAAACTGATTATCCTTCCGAAGAACATGAGTTTTGTTTTTAAAGAGGTTTGAATTGCCTTTGCTATGGTTTTCAGTGTTGTAATTTGGGCTTTAATATTTTCAATGTTTGTTTTGTCTCTACCGGTCACAGTGCAAGTTCTCTAATATCGGTGTTTTGTGTCTATTGTTGTTATGTAAGTTGTTTTTGTGCCACGTGTCGATCATTTTTGCCAATTGCAACTGATTTCTACAGTTTGTTCTCACTGAATACCGTCAACTGACCAAGCTCCCATATTACCGCACGAAAATTAGCATTAAAGTACAGGATTCCAGATCAAATGAATGATAAATGTGGCTATAGTTCATTGATCTACCTTTGTTGTTATTTAAATAACAATTAAAAAAATTGTAGAAAACTTCGTGAATAAAAAAGAATAAATATATTTTCTCTAGTAATATGATAATGTTATGAACATGTAGGGAACCACATCTCAAACTAAACATGTCATTGGTATTATGAATCTCGACTACTCATGTATATAATTTTATGTAAAGGCGTTGTTCAAAAACAATGTATACTGAACACAATATCCAACAACGGTTTCGTTTCAAACGCTTCTTAACACACTTTAGAAACAATGACAAGTATAACTTTAATGTGAAACTGAATTTCGTTCTATGCACACATTTTAAGACCGAACTCGTTATTTGATTTAGTTTTTTGTTTTTTTTTGCGATTTCCTATATATCTTTTTTCAGTGCTCTGTTTGAAGGAACAAATAGTATTTAAGTATTGTTTCTTTTCATTAGCTATAATTCCGTAATATATGTATATATATATCAGAGGCGGATTTAGAGGGTTTTTCAGGGGGCCCGGGCCCCCCCTTTTGTGGGAAAAAATTGGTTGATTATATAGGGAATCACTGAAGCATGACTGGAGCGGGCCCCCTCTTAGGCAGTCAGTGGGCCCCCTCTTATCAAAAGTTCTTGATCCGCCACTGTATATACTAGTAGACCATTGAAGACCTTTTTCAAATCTAATACATAATAAAAGCGTTGTCCTTATAATTTTCATGTATTCATAACAACCATTTTTTACATATAATGCAGTTTTACATGTAACGCCAGTTTTGATTTGATGGCGTCTGTCGTCAAAACAACGATTGGCGATTCAAACCAAAAAACAAACGCATTATAATGCTCACACATAGAGAGCTAAAAAAAATCTTACATGTGATATGAGTGAGAATGACAAACACGTCGCCTGTTAATTCTAGTTCCTAACAATGCAAACATGCCACGTAACATTCGAAGGAGGGGGATAATTTAGCACAGAAGTGATTCCCATAATTTTCAAAAGTTTTGTGTATGTACAGACAGTAACAGTAATAAGATATAGATATATTGCAAGCTAAACACGGACTCTACAAAATCAAACCCGTGAGCTATTAATTTAATTTTGACCTTTTTAAATTATAAACCGGGTATCTTTTTATATTTTACTCAAGTTTGCAAATTTTCTGTGAACCTTTGTTCCTTTTAAAACCAGAAAGACGCACAAAAACATCTTTTTTTTTTAACTCATCAATTTTATGTGCAAAACATTTGTTTGATATAGTCTTGCTTTTTTAGGCAGAAGTTTAGGGCAAATTAAGCCTTTCGTGACTCCAATCCTTTGTTCCATATTATTTTATAATAGATTTCATGTGACAATACCATTAGTATATAATAGTAAGCTTAACGCGATGTATTGTGTTGCTCAGGTGACAAAATGTCAATCTTGATTTGTAATCCAGGGATGTATGTATATTTTTTATATGCTGTACCGGTTCTTTATTTTAGGCAGTAACTGTGAGCATTCCGCTCATCTACGTTTCTACTTATATTCGTGTTTTATTGTCCTTCGCGGAGAAGCGGTGCATGCGAGTGACATATAAATAGTGGGCGTCCGTCCTGATTGTCAGCACTTTCAGGCGTACAATTCTTTCAAGATTTTTATATCAGCGATTCATTGTAAGCGATCTAGACGCCAATACAGCATTTTTTATGAAATGTATATCAAAGATTTATAACTGCAATGTCCCGATCGAGTTCAAAAATCAGTGCTGATCAATTATTGTTACAGGAGTTATGTACCTTGGAAATATTCTCTATGGAAAATTGTCTTGTAAGCGCCCTGAAGCCTACATTTCTTGTCAAGATTTTTATGAAATTTTAAAGGTTTATATCAGTATTGTGTTAGACGACTTTGAAAATTCGTTCCAGTCAACTACTTTTAAAGGAGTATATATATATATTGGATATATGAATTATATTAGAATTAAATCTTGACAGTTATGTATAAAAGTTTATTAGGTATTGCGTTAATACTTATCTTCATTTATATTGTTTATCAATAATTCTGAATAAGGAGAGCTCATGGATCTATTTACTCTGAAAATTTGCACATTGTAATTGTATCTGTCTGTAAACAGGAATCAGCCGTTCGCTGTTTAGTTTTAGGTAGGTTACACTTGGGTTTTTTTCCAGCCATGTTTATATGATGCATGAAATTTTCTCTCGACTTTTTTGGACTTTAAGATCATTGATGAAGATCTGATGGTGATCCGACCTCTATTTAAAGCTTGACATGACTAAAAATTTATCAGACAATCAAATACTGAAATTATACTGGTAAAGAGATCAGAACAATATTTTGCAAATCATCATATAGGGGTTATGTATATTTGCCTTATAGATCACTAAATGCAATGGAACAAAACAGTGATATCTTCAGTTACCTTTATTCTAAAGGATTTATTCAAGATATACATATAAAAGAGAATGGAATGACTGAACAACGACGTTGACATTATGAGGAGAAAAAATCTTAGTCATTTTGTTCTCCGACTGTTTCTTTCAGGAGGTCACCCTTAAGATGCATATATACAATTTTACACATATGGCTCCCATACTCAGAGTAAATACAGGTGTGACAAGGAATATACACGTGCGTATTTGAAGAAGAATTTATACAAAAATGTTTTTCCATATTTTTATTTACATTCCACCCGTGTCATCTTGAACGTCTAAGTCATTTTCACTCGAAGAGTGCGACATCTGGGTTTTAGAAATGCTTAATAATGTTTCAGCCATGTTCTCATTTGAATAAACGTCAGGCTTTGTTAGGAATTTTTCATTCATTACTTCACTAATTGCAGGATCAATTTCGGATTTAACTTCCGTTTGCGTGTCTTTGTTATCAATTTCGAATGCCAGTGAAATTTTTTCCTCACTTTTATTTTTCTTGGCTGTCGACATATTGCCGTGTTTTTTCGATACATCCGTGCTTTTCTCTACATTGAGCTTAAGTTCTGCAGCTTCAGCGTTAGAAATGTTCTCCTGTTTCTTCCATTTGGTCCTTCTGTTTTGAAACCATATCTTTACCTGAAACAAAACAAACACGTTGAAATATCGTTTTATAGATAATTAGGAACTGTGTTGTTGTGACTCGTGTTAGAGTGTCATAAGTAAAATTAACGAGAATTCAATGACGTCTTAATATCGCTTCCTCTTGTAGTCGATGCATTAACCATGCATCCATGTCATTCACGATGAATCGGTGATATCTGATATCGCCAAGTTGTGGAGAAACAATTCAAAACAATTAAGTGATTATTGCAAAAACTTTCATCTTCATAATTGTGAAGTTCTATTAGGTTTACTGATTGCGAATTCTGCAATGAAAATTACGAATCAAAAGAAAAGACATTGTTGGGAAATCTATAAGATTTTCATTTGGACAAAGTCAAACTCAAAAATGTCTTTTTTCTGGACATTTAAGAAGTTAAAACAAAGAATATTATATACATATTTACATACAATAAAAATCTATACATTTACTAATCATAAGGTAAATCACATATATTAAGTGACAATCGTAAATAAATTTTAAATATAAACCATAATAAGATTATTTATAAAAAATAAGTAAGAAGTTTGATGCTGCGTTAGGAAGGTGGCATGGTCTTTATGAAACATTGGACATAATATATTTACTATTAGTATAATAGTCCCAGATGGAAATAAAGAGATGAGGTAAGAATACCCATTTGACAATTATCCGCTTATATTCTTAAACACTAACACGTAATATAAAATGAAAGGATATGGAGTAAATGTACATGGGACAAAATCGGACACAATACATAGAAAAAACAAAGAATTATCAATGAACAAGGCTTTTATTCCTGTTCTTCATCTTGACAGTTGATGTAATGTTCATTCTGTAAGACAATGCTACCTTTAGACCAGAATAGATGAACAACTACTTTGGTAGTACACCTCATTGCAGATCAATTGGACCATACCGATGTTAGGTCAATGGTTAGATATCGCTGGATCTTTTACGTGTTTCCTAATCACCTGAATCCGGTACCCCGTAACCAAAAGTGATTGAGACAAAATACATAACATGTTGGGGAGCAATAAAACAGATATGCCGTAATTTTAAAATATTCCAAACGAGTTATCTTCCTTAGTAAACAAACTGTAGTTCCTCACACTACCTGTGTATGGTATTTAAATCGGATTTTGTTTTTGTCTTCATTGATTTAAAAAAAAAATTTTTTTTGGTTCCAAAGCACGTCCATAAATTGAATGTACAATTAACATTGATATATATAACAATCGCATACCACAGATTGAAGGTGAGAGAGTGCCACAGATGAGTTGTGCTTCCGTCCGCAGATGAGTGAGTTTCCGTCAAAGTCTATTTTATATATATATATCAGCAGAAAACCCAAAAGGGTCTGCATAATAATGTTCAACATCAGTGATGATAAATATGTAACATTGTCGTATAAATACATAATAAATCATATTAATGAATTATCTAAAATTGTTGTAAATTCTGAGAAATCACGTAATCAGCTTTTCTCACTTAATTTCATTTCATTATTGTATCAATATTTAATTTGAAAAATTCCATAATCTTTTTTAACCATAAAGAACTCCCATAAAATACCTCACACAACAGTAAACGGCGATCGTTAATGGTAAATTAATGAGCTTTTATACCAGCGCCACACTTATAATTTTGACACTTTACGTAAAAGTGTGCCCTTTTCCGGAAATATCCTACTTAAATGAAATTTAAATTAGTTAAAAATTGTTCAGATGAAACAAAATCTAACACCTGTCGTTAGCTAAATTAAAACATTGACAAATGTATTATAAAATGTTAGAATATCTAAATTGATTCTTGCGTGAAAAATTATGATAGAAAAAACGACATCGCTCTAATGATTTCCATTAAAGATACTTTTCTCCTTATTGTTTTTCTAATAATTGTTAGTTTGCACGTGTCAGGCTTAACTTGAGACAATGATGTTCACGTATTGTATCTAAGCAATACAATGTCTTAAATGGTCTTAAGATTTGCGATATAACTTAATATGAACAGTGTTTTTACATGCACATACTGTGGCATTGAAAAACATGCATATTTGATCAGATATACACGAAGAACCCGAAGCTGTTCTGATGATCGTGTGAAAACTATAATTTCTCATATTTTACGGGTAGAATTATTATAGCCCTCGGCAGTTTGAGTAATCTTTTTACGCAGGCAGGGATGTTGAAATCTAATTATTTCACGTGAATTGAACTTTATATCACTGTCCAGTTTGCTACTAACAGGTTTAACGATCGTTTACTTTTCGGGGACTATCTAATTACCAAAAGGAGCCAGCATCTACTAAAACACATCTTTCAAAGATGTAGGATGAATCAAGTGTAGAAAAATATAAAATAATATAACATAAAGGTGAAAATTAATTTTGGAGATTTTTTTTTTAACTTTGAATTTATACATGTAAAAGACCGTAAAGCACTAGCGTAGCCTTAGTTATATAAATCTATCTGAATATGATACAGCCACCATGTATACTTGCATAATGTTTTTTTTTTCTAAATATCACAATGAAAGGACTTTCTTTGTAGGTTCTAGGTTTATTTCAAAGTGGTAGAAATTATAAAAAGAGTACAATTATGCATGTAGCCCAGAACCATCTTCAATACCTAATTTGAAAAAGTGAGATTACCTACCGATCGTTTGACTTTTTCATTTTAATGGATGAATTTATCTTGCATCACATTTGTACACATGACTGCTTTTGCATGCTGTTGCCAATTGGGAGTTAATGAATGTTTCCCGGTGGTCTTAAAGAGCAAATTCTCAAACGCCCAAAATGTAAACATAAAGCCTACTCGTCACTTCAGCGTTTTTAATCAAGAGATGAAATAAAACCTAGGCTAATGATTTAAAACACTAATCGTCAGATTGGCGAAAAATGGACGAACGAAAAAGGGGAAAATTCATAGCAAATTTGCAAGTACAGATAAAAGAAAAATTTCAATTTTGTAAGTTTCATCATATTTCTCTATGAGTTATTCAATATAGAGATATGTTTAATAATGGTATAAGAAATAAACGTCAAGTTGTATTAAAAAAATAATTTCAGAAATTTATTTCTAATTTGTATATCTATATTTTTTGAATATCTGATACTAGGGATAATATACGTTGTATTGTATATTCTAGTATAGTAATGCATCATACATACTGTAACATTTTATAAGATCTTTCGTTTATACGGTTATAGATGTTTAATATTTTACTTTGTAGTATGCTATAATGATTAATTAATACTAATATTATTATTAATATATAATTGATTCTATTGTAATTTTCAGCATCAACATCATCAAAATAAATCAAGTCACTTTTTAAATTATACATTTTTATTAATAGATTCCTCTGAAAATAACCTATAATGATATGCAATATTTGTTCAAAGTACAGATAGATGAATGAATTTCAAAAATATAAAATGGTGGGATTTTTTTATTCAAATTATTTCCTACATAATTATGTGAAGAGGAAAGGTAACTCAGAAAAATTACAAATTTACAATTTCCTTTTCCTTATTTATTCAAAATTATTTTCATAAATGAAAGGTAAATAATTTGACATGTATTTGCTTCCCTTATAAGATTAAGAGTTTGAATTTTTTTCATAGTTTGAAAGTTTGTTTTAATTATACAAGAATTGGTGTAAAAAAAAACTATGAATTTAATACTGACATATATGTACTTATTGGTTTTGAACACTTAAATCTTTCAATGTTTTGAATTCAAACAAAAGAAAACTAGAAAACAGTCAGACGTGCATGACAACCGCCAATAGAAAATAAAAGGATATGGAGTAAATGTACATGGGAAAAAATCGCACACAATACATAGAAAACATAGAAAATTATCAATGAACAGGGCTTTTATTCCTGTTCTTCATGTTGACAGTTGATGTAGGGTTTTCAACAATGAACGAATAATTCATACCCTACAACAAGGTCAAGACGGCCCCTAGCGTCGACTTAAGCGGTACTATTGATAAAAATAAACCACAGTTCACCTTCTTGATCCCCACCCGCCTCGGAGTGCCAACTTGTGCGATGCTTGTGTACGAGGGTCCAAATCTACATATCTTCGCTCTCCAATTTAAATATAGATATTACAAGGCCAATGCTTTTGCTATCTTTGATTTTTATATATAAAAACAAATAAATATAAAAGGTGCACAGTGGCCTTATGTAAGAAAGATTACTTACATTGAGTATATATAGTTTAGGAGAATATAAACTGACTAGCCACACTCATTATGTATTGCCAAGCTTTGCTATGGTAAACATTTATATAAAACCCTTTGGTTTGATGAACAAATATAATAAGAGGCGAAGAATGCCATTTAATACTTAAGATCCTCAACAATAAAAATCCGGAAAATATTGAAATCCAGTAACCGGTTATTAAAGAGGACTTGAGATTACATACTAGAAGGGTGACAGTTGACCCTGGCTTTATGAGAATATAAAAGATATATATACCTATAACGAACGGATTCACTGACGATCGGAGTATATAAAGACCAAAAACAAGAAGAATAAGGCTTATATATGTTTTATATTCACGCGTACATTATTCGAGTTCACCGACAGTTTTCAAATAAGTTTCGACAAGCTTTGCTTAATCTTTATTTTTTAGTAAAGTTACATTTTGTTTATTACTGTTTGACTTTTCCCGTAGTTTTTGCTCTTGGTCATGTTGCTATCTGTTCTTCTTCCACCTATAGTTTTGGATTACACCCCTCCTTTAAATATATTTTCTTACTTTTGTGTACTTGTAGCAATTTTATAATATATATATACTGAAAAAGTTTTTCAATATACCGAAAAGTTGAAACATGAAAACATTCTACAAAAAAAGAGACTATAAAATAAACAAAAGCCAGTGAATTTAAACTTGACTCTTTCGTAAATACCATGCACTAACGCTTTGTGTGTTAGATCTCTGATCTCCTTTCAAATTAAGATATTCTTAAAAGAGTTTCCCTATTTTCAAGCAATGGAAGACACAGCAATGACACTAACAGAATTAATATCTACCTGTGTTTCTGTAACATTCAACATTGTAGCCATTTCTGCTCTTTCTGCCGAAGACAAATACTTTTTCTGCTCAAATTGCTTCTCAAGTTCAAAAATTTGTCTCCCGGTAAATGTCGTTCGGGCTTTCTTTTTCTTTAGATTTTGATCACTGCAGTTATCATCGGATGATCTCTTTCGGGAATCCTCGGGGTCAGATTCTTCTGAAAATGAATGAAAAAATAAAGTTACGTTTTTGTGCGACTCAACTTTAAGTTTTCACAATTTTTGTATTTGAATTAAAACGTGCATGCAGTGTCATAAGGAACTTGACCTTGTTGTAATTATTGGTCTCTTCCGTTCATCGTTGTAGACTTCCCATCAACTGACAAGGTGAAGAACATCAATATAATTATTTACAAAATTTGAACTTCAGTGTTTGATGAGATTGCTTTATTTGCAGCCAACCAATATCCCCATTTTCAATTTTACGTTGAATTATTTAATTTAAATATTTAGTATATACCTTTTTTGTCTTCACTTTTCCACGCATAATATACATGTAATACTTATGAGAAATTGATAAACGAAATATTTTGATGATTCACTTATCATCTCATTTAATATGTTAAAAACGAAAATTCGTGAATAAGTGTGTTTTGCTCATCAACGGACAAATTGTTCATTTACTTATAAAAAATAATGCATGTCTACCTCTGTATTATAGACATCTTATAATGATATGTTAAGTTTCAGAGAATATTGGTCCCTTCCTCTTTTTAATATATGATCTGTATTTAGTTGTTTTTTATTCTATAAAAAAAAAACAAACATCGGAGAATGATAAAATATGTAATGTTTTGAAAACGATATCCACGTCTGTAAATCATGACAAAGCATTACCACAGAAATGTGAAGGAAAGCCATTTTTTATACCACGATGTACTTGGACAAGACTTCTTACACGGACAAAACTATCAAACTATTAATTAAAAACATCAATTCTGACATTTGTTGTGCGTTAATAGTTAATGACCATTTATGATTATTTATTAGGACTATTGGTTGTCAATTTGTTTTTATTTTATTTTCCCAATATATTCTATAAATTACACATTTTGTATATATATATATATACACATAATTTTATATTGAAATATTTCAATAATGAACAATAAATCAATTTGCAAATTATAGACAATATCTTATTATTAGTCTTATATTTTATATAGAAACTTCAATTCATTTTACAAGTACATGTCTGATAATTCGTTATTATACAATGTGACACTGCTATATTTATTTTTGCTTATCGAAATCTTAAGATATAAATAAGACGATTTTAACTTGAATGCAATCTATATTAATATTACATAAAAATGATAAGAGAATGTGACTTTACCTTTAATTTCCTGCTTAATGTCACACGTGCTTGTTCTCAAGAAGCACCCCTCACATTTACATGTATAACTTCTTATTAAGTCATTTTCTTTAACACTTTCTTTCTTTAGATTTTCCTTTTCATTGTTTTCACTCAGTCCAAGTATATCCGATATGAAATGTCTCCTACATTTTCTGGGTGGTTCATAGATATGGGGGTGCCATGTTCTAGGTGTGGTGAACAGCATGCTCCCCTGCTGCAACAAACCCGTCGATGAAACAAAGGCGTGCAGTCTATGGTTCATTCCACATTCCATAATTATACAGAAGAAAATAAAATAAAATCGATAGTTTTTTCACCTCTGAAGATACAACAAAGTGTTTAAAAATGTTCTCTCCTTAAAGAAGGTAATTTGTTAAAATTTAAACTGCAGTAGTTAAGTGTTATTAAAACAAACGGCGGTTAGTGGTGTAACAACTCGAACTGATATAAATCTATTAGCAAGTTAATGAGGCTATAAGTTGATGCCGGTCTGGGGGAGGTGCCTAGCGTACATAATAATGTACTGTAATTACTAATATTTAGTTGGAATTATTGGCAAATTCGATGTTATATTATACTGTCACTTAGAAAATTAATGATCATAAAACATTACCGATAAACTCCCGATCATAAGGCTAGGTGTCAAAAGTAAGCCTATAAGATTTCCAATATTGACCGATAGTATGGCGTTTAATTGTTTTAGTTATCTAGAACCATATTGCTTCTGATAGTAGAACAGATCACTTTACAAATTACAAGCAATTTTCTTTTTTCAAGATTATTTAATTTTCACTTCACGCGTGTTAGTTCAAAGGTCTTGTGAAAAGAAAAGTATATTTTAGACGATTATAAGCTAATTTGATCCTTTTAGCAATAAAATATAGGAAGGTTGTAGATATTTGTTCTCTGGATATAGATATAAATTTTAAATTATTGATAAAGCTGTAATTAAGCTGCTGAAGTATTTTAACTAGAAACTTATTTTTCCACTTTCTTTCTTGAAATAGACAATTTTCATCAGATATATTTCGCGCCTCACACTATCATTTGATGACAAGCTTTCACTTTAGTATGCTGTCGCGAAATTCAATAAAAAAAATAAACCAAATTTATTTATTTATTTATTTATTTATTTATTTATTTATTTATTTATTTATTTATTTATTTATTTATTTATTTATTTATTTATTTATTTATTTATTAAAAAATACAAAAAGTGTAAAGTAAAGTCATTTTGACTTTTGTTTTAATTTACTTGCTAAACATATTTATTCCAAGTGAATTTATATAACAGATGGAAAATGAAATTATCAAAAATCAGCTTTAAAAATGGAAAACATCTATGGTTAGAAATCAATTAATTATCAGTCAGTTCCTTGATCATTCCATTAAAATGTTCATTTGTTTTTTTCTTCTTCGTCAAAATACAATATTTGTTGATAAGGGCTATTTTATAACCGTTACAAGCTGAATAGTTTTACACAAGGGAATCGTATAAGTTCTGACATTTATGTGCCTTAAAGGGGTATATAATTCTATATGACGGAGTCGTCGCTATTAAATGCCTCATGGTTCTTGTTGAGTACAGAGAGTCTTTGACAGATGATGTCCACATTATTGCAAAAATTACGATTTAAATGTAAACAGATATGTGATGTGAAACCGAGACATGTGTTTCTGATTCAATCCTTAATTAATAGAACAATTCGTTTTGCTTAGAATGTATAATGATTTCACGTAATAGTGGCAGGCCAGCAGGTTTAATTAAGTTGACACGTTGATCGCTTTGGGACGTGGATTGCTATCTTAAAGATGTTCTAGACATAACTAATGGGGCAATTTGTCGTTAGAGAGAAGCAATTATTGAAATATTGAAATACAACTGAGATTTCACAAGACGTAATCTTTTCATTATTTGTATTACCCTTAATTATGTATTTTATATCTAAGAGAATGATGATTACAAATTAAAATAATTGAAAGAAACGTGAAAACAGTCTCTTTGAAAACGTTTTACGTAATACAATATTCTTCGTTTCATATTTCGGTATAAGATTTTTTTCAAGCGCTTCAGGAGTGAGTAAGCGCAAAACAGTGTTATAGAGTGATAGATAAGCGACGAAAACCTCACTTAAAAAAAACACAGTCATGTGAAAATGCTAATATTCATTTTGGAGACGGACACTCTGCAATTTCTTCATGCTTTTTATAATTTATATCGTCATAAATATCAAATTTTGATTATATTGTTCGTAAAACAAAATTAAATTTTAACATACGCGTACATTTATGAGTGCAGAAATTATGCAAGTCTTGGGCCATTTTGGATTGAATGGTTCTGAGATCTGATGCCTATCCTTGTACTGAAATTAAGATTTGCTTTAAATACAAGATTTTTTTTAAAAATTTCCTGTAGGAATTTTTAAGCACACATGATCTTAACCAAAAACAAAAGATTCTGAATTATGATGTAGAAATGTGACGAATTTAAAAACACTGTTTAGCCCTCTCTTCGGTTTGAAGGCCATTAACTTTTCTAATTTGTTTGATTTCTTGTAATTTTACTCACATTTTTATTAAAATGTCTTAAATAGATTGCTGTCAGCGATCTGTAATCTTTAATTTAATACGGAACTATGTTTACTTTAAACGATTTTCTTTCTCTTTTAGAGAATCAATAGTCACAACATGACCAGTAAAGATCTTTGAAAGTCCCCTATGTGTTCCACTTCGATTAGTTGTATCCATGATGGCATGGATGCTCAAATTAATTGATGCAGCAATCAGACAGGGTGATTAAGTATCAATTGACACACCATACAGCTCGAACTGACTTAAATTATAAGCATGCCAAAGGTTTCCCATCAGAGATTTTGGCACCATATCATTATATAATGATCGGCACTAATTACACGAGAAATGACAAAGATTAACTCTGTTATATGCTTATCTATTAGTGTACCTAAGTAGCACTTACACTTGCTATCAAGAACGTATCTATCTCTTAATTGTCGAATTATCTCGCTACTTGTTTTGTACATTTGTCGCAGTTTTTTTATCGATAGAAGCCGCAGCTTCTATAAATAAGTCATAGATTTTAAAATAAATTGTATGACTGAAAAATTGTAATTTTAAGGTTGTCAACAAATTTGTTCAAAATCAACACACATAAATGAGAGTATCATTTAGTCAAATTACTTTTTACATGACAAAATATTGTAAAGGTACAAATTAAATCTAGCGATCTGAAATGCCCAGTGTGTTAACAGAAAAAAAGAAATAAAATACAAAAAAGGGTAAATATGTAGGACTCAAATCTATGGTGGGTTCCAGATATATGACAGATTTCAAATCTATGGCAAATGTTACGTTTGCTTTCTCCAAATCTATAGCAAACATTATGTTTGCTTTCTCAAAATCTATGACAGAATTTGAAATTGCGTAATTTTTCGGGAAAAGAGTCAACTATGTATTATTAAAAATAAACACTCTAAATTATTATCCTGGTCTGTGTTTATATTGCCCTTGATTGTACGAGTTTTTACTGTGACTTTGGTATGTTTTTTGCTTTCCTTTCATAATTTTTTGTTATGCTATGCTGTTTTCTTGTTATTTTTATTATTCCTATGGGGTACTTTTTAAATTTCTTTTAACATAATCTGCAGGATTTTTCAGCTATATCACAGAGATTACCTGTACTATTGTAACAAAAAATCTTTCTTGAGATTTGGAAACTAAAAACAAAATTTAATCTACAACATTTTTAGCAATAGTTATGTCGAATACCTGTATACTGTTGGAGAAAGTAAGATTTCTTGAGAAAGCTACTAGTTTAAGGCAAGTCAATTGGTCAGATATGTATTGACTAGTCCTCCATTTGCAGAAAATCTTCAATAGATTTGGAAACTAGAAAATTTGCCATAGCCTTTGGGATGGCATGACGTCATATTTACCATAGATTTGGAATCTGCCATAGAACTGTAACCCGCCATGCATGTGAGTCCTACACATAAACTAGAATGCATCCAGAAATTTTCTTCTATATTAGAGGAGTATAAAACCTTGTAATCTTCAAAGTATGATGTACAGTTGTTTATCATAACTTTTGTTTTAGAAAATGTATCATGCAGAGGAAAGCTAGTATGTCGCTTTAAAGTAGATCAAATGCATCGAAACGCTTTAGATACCACTGCTATGTTTGTGTTTTATATACTTGATTCGTTTTGAATATCGCGAAGTTAAATCATTAGTAGCAATTAATTAAAGTAAAAAATGACATGATTAGAGACATTTACCAATCCGAAATGCCTTACCACTGTATGTTTGATCAGCGATTTTAAAGAAAATAAAAAAATGGTTTACACGACGAGTGTCACCAGCGAAGCAGGAACTGCTTTTAAATCCAGAGCAGATGAGTTCATTTCCTTTTTAGAGGGGTTTGTATTGCTTATATTTCCCAGATTTTATGGTTTTTAAGTAAAAGCGCATATCGTCATTAAAAGTTGAGTTTTAACATATCGCTTTTGTAAACCTAACGGCGCTTTTTTTTCGATAAAAGGAAATGTGAGGAAAACGACAACGAGACAACAACATAACAACACAAATAACCAAAAAGACATCTTCAATTATATTTTACATTTTGTATATATATGTTAATCAGTCCCATGTTTGATTTTTCATATCACCAACACTTGCACGGATCATCTCACGCTAAAACTTATATAACAACCATTGGTATATTTATATCAAGCACGGACAAGAGGTTTCCGAATATAACATCCTTGGATATACCGAATTTGGATAATGATATCCTTAACATATAAACAGTAAAATATAGTACAGATCTCAATGAAATACAGGTCATGGTAGAATATCATGTTTTACTTCGAACTCTCGTTAGTTAATTGTTGGTAAATATCCTAGCAGCCAATATTATAGCAATATTACACGAGTACGTAAGTTTGGATATTAAATCGTCTATAGGTACGTCTATATGTATGCGAATTTTCTACTCAAAGGTCGCTACCGGCATGTACGAAATGTCTTGATGAAAACTGTATTAAATGATTAAACTATTCGACAGAAAATCGTTGAAAGGACTCTTCTCTTTTCTACACTAATGGTATGTTTTCAAATACACCTGCATCACGGGAGCAGTTTACTTCGTCGCGTCCGTTCATCCGTCTGTCCACAATGTAGCACATTTGTGTCTCATTTTTTCTCTCTGCAACATGTCATATTAGCTTATAGCTGTATGGCACCAAATTGATGGGTTTGCACATCCATACGACACGTTTTCTGTTCCTTCGATGTTCTAGTGCTTGTTTGCAACTAACTTATTACATTTGAAACCTCCCACAGAAATTGTCATAACAGTTTCCTCAGTAACTTCATCATTATTATAGCATCATCTGCATTCTAATGCCAAATCGTGAGCAACTTTTT